AGTGACTCCCGATCTTCTCTGTCCCTTTACAGCTTTGGAGATCTCTGATGGGATTTTAAAGGAGCTCAGTTTGCTTTGCTACGTGCTCTCACTTGTACAGCGTAACTTTCTGGAGCTTCTGTTTGTCCCCGTGGAAAGTAGGATGGTAACATCTACCTCTGTGGTTTGTTGTAAAGATTGTATGACGGGATGTATGAGGTTGGCACAGACCTGAGCACGTATGGAGTCCCAAATATGTGTGCAAGGTGCATTAGGAGACAACGATATGAATAATGATGATGTTCTCAAATTGATAGAGGCTGTAGCAGCTTGAGTTGGTGGCCTTAGCCGTTAAAGCCTCATCTATGCTGAAGCCCTGTATTTTATATCGACTTATTTTTTACTACTTAGTTATCACTTGGAAATCTCCCCACCAGTCAGACTGTTGTCATGAATTTAGAGATGGTTGGAGGTGTTTGTTGTTATGACTTTTCAGGAGCTCCTGAGAGATTCTTGAGTCACCAGGAAGTTCTTTGAGTTCATTTATGTGTTTTACAGGTGCAACCTTGGGCACTTATTTGTAGGTGTGGCAGGTATGCACATGGTGTGAGTTCCTCCGTGTGATGGTTAGATCCAGAGAACTCAGCAAAGACTCCTGGGAGCACACAGGAGGACTGGTGGTAGTAATGGCGGCTCTGTAATATACTTCCTGGAGGAACTCCGGGTACATCAGTTTGGGGAAACAAGTACAATCTGGGTATGGAAGCAATGCAAATAGAAACTAGACAAATAGCAAAGAAAGGGAGAAAACAACCTTCCTACCTTTGTCACATTCCTTGTTTATTCATTTGCATGTCCTTGTTCATCCTCGGCCTCTGAAATCTGAGAACCAGACCCAGGATTTGATTTTAGTGTGGATTTCACACACTTGGGAGAATAATATATTTGTGGGTTTCCTTGAGGGCTATCTGCTTTCTCTTTACTTAGAAATAGCTGTTGCAAAAACCTATGAGTTTCTGTTAGATACCTCAGGAGCATTTAAGTGAGTTTTACTTCCTTATTTTACTTTAACATGTAGATGTTGATGAAGAAGGAGTTAAATGGAGTAGAGTCAGGAGCCCTATTAACGAACTATTTAGAAAATAATAAATGTAGATTTTTTCTGCTACTTGTGTAGGTTTGTGAATTTGTTTTATACTCAGCATATGAGTTTCAACAACTGGAACATATTTGCCTTTCTGAAATGCTAGCTTGATCTTCTGGAGAGGTTTCCCTTGTCGAATTATATCCTAAATTCTTTCCGTCTCCCTTGGCTCTAGTCTGTCTCCCTAGTTAATCTCCTGTGTTCCTCCCAGTCATATCCTGCAACCTGGAAACAGCCGACCCCGTGAGAGTCCGAGCCTCACCCTGCTTCGCGCTGGTCTTCAAATGTTGGCACTCTTCTGTCTTTCCTGAGATTGTCAGCTGAGGAATCGATCTTCTGATGTCTGCTGTCTCTCAGGGCCTGCTTCGGCAGCCTCCCGGAGTCCCCGGCTTTATACCCACTGCTCCGCGTGCCTTCTCTGCTGTGGCCTGCGGTACTCATCTCACTGCAGTGGGCTGTTGGTGTCTTCTTGGGGCTTCTTGTTACCTTCAGGGTGGATGGATTCTTCTTTGCTTGTCACTCAGCAACACCTCAACAACTCTGGCAAATTTTTCCCAAAGGGCTGCTGTGCTATTTGCTTGTTTCCATTAGAAAATAGAACCAAACTCAAAATGTAGGTAGTGGATATGAATTATTTGTGCATAATTCTGTAATGGCCTATTTTTTGCCTTTGCAATCTTTTTTTCCTCTTTTTTGTTTAGTTGTAAGCATAGTACATCATCCTGTTTATCGTGCTTTAAAAATTATGCTGTAATTTTTTATTTGTTCCTTCCTGATCTCTGTAGTTCTTGTCTTTCACGGTTCTTTTTAAAGTTTACTCGTTGGATAGTTTACTTATCCATTTCCTTACCTTTGGATATTTAGTGTTTTTCTCCTAATTTTTAATACTTATGGCTGTAATAATGTTGGATTGGATAGGTTTACAAGTTAGGAATGCCAGGATGCAAGGGAAAGAAAGAGCCAAGAGTTGAATTCAGAACGTCTTGGTGCCAGCTGAGCTTTGCGTCCTCTCTGCAGCTCTGGACCTCGAGTACTGTTGGCCCTTTCATCTGTAATGAGTGAGAGCGGCGTTGGCTTCTTGTAAGGACTCCGTGAGCTGCAACTAGGGGAAGTAGATCTGTGGGATCCTTAGCGTGGAGGAGGCACTGAAATACTGAACGCTGATTCATTGAATTCTTGCAGTAGCCATGTAAGAGCAGCTGGAAGAGACTTCACCTTGCCCCAAGTCACCCTGAAAGTGCTAAGATCCCAACCCAGTTATATTTTTAGCAATTATTTGTCTTTATTAATTTGTACATAACACAGACTTCAATTTACTCAGCAAAATCAGTCACTTTAAATAACACACTAGTCTGCTAACGTCATAGAATGGTATTTCTTTTTAGGAATGAACCTGCTTTTCTGACAAGTTAATAAACCGTATCAGTGTTCCAAGGTCTTTCATTGTGTCCCACCAATTTTTGATGCATATAATAACCAATTGGCCTGATTATCATTTTCAACTGTCCCTATCTTCCTGATCTCAGTGAACCCTTAATAATAAGACAGGGCCTAAAGTTGTAAGGTTAATACTTGATTTAGATTTTAGTCCATGACTCTTCAGTTATACATGCAAAGAAGCCAACGTATGCTAAGCTCCTGTATCATTCCAGATCATTTTTTACTAACCTAAGACAGAGACCTGACTCAATTTGTTTTTCTTATAAAGTAAGAAACCCAGCTCTTAAATACTCTGCAGTCCTTTTTCCTGAGGATACCTGGAAAGATATCGTCCCAGCCAGTGAATCATTTCTCTGAAATAACACAGAAGGGCAATCCTAAGCTCTCCATACCAAGGAGTATTCAGAGAGGAAAAGCATTTAGAAAAGGATGAGAATAATGAATATTCAGAATATTTTTATTATTGACCAGTAGTTCATAAAACATCTCATCTCTCTGATAAAGAATAGGGAATTCATTTGTGAAAACCTGACCTCAAGGTAGTGATATTGGCACAGGACAACCAAAAGAATTAATGCCACAGGAGTGGAGCTAGCCAAGGACCCATATGGGGTTGAATGAAAAGGGAAAACTGCTGAGAGCAGACCTTTGTAAGGAATCAAGCATGACTGCATCCCAGGCCCATGATATTTTTAAGGAATGGAGAGTTACAGAGCTGTAGAGAAAGAGGCAGTGTGATCCTTTCCCTAGGCTACTTGCATCCCTTGGCTTATGGTCCCATCCTCCCTGTTCCAAGCCAGAAGTACAGCATCTTCAAATTTCTATGATCTCCTAGTTTGCTTCTCTCTTCCACTTATACAGATGCTTGTGATTAAATTGGGCCCACCTGGATGATCCAGGATACACTTCTCATCTCAGGGTCAGTTTATTAGCAACCTTAATTCTCATTTGCAGTCTTAATTGCCCTGGACAGGCAGGTTCTGGAGATTAGAGCATGAACCTTTCAGGGAGAGGGTGCATTATTTTGCCTGCCATCCTTGGCAAACAGGATAAGTGAACGAATGATGAATTAATTCAGGTAAGCAGTCAGGAGAAGGGAAGCAGTATCATGCCAGCCACAACAGGCAGAAAAAAATAGTAAACGTCTCTCACCTCAGGGAGTTTTATTGACCTGTGCCATTAGGGATAGCGGGAGATTATCGAGAGTCCTCCATCTCTCCCTTTGACTCTCAGATAAGCTTTTCTCTGACACCTCAGATTTAGATCAGATGCTTCATTTTGTGCTCTCAGTGCCCCCCCAACCCCCAGGAGCACACAAAGTTTGGTGAATGTTTATTTTGTTTTCCGGTACCAGGAATCGAACTCATGACGTCCCGCTTGCCAGGCAGGCGCTGTGCCACTGAGCTAAATTCCCAGCCCCTGGTGAATGTTTAAATAAAATAAAACTTATAGTAAAAGACACATTGCCAAGAGTGATGGGATAAATGTGTTCAAAGCAGGTGGGGGGGGCTGTATTTCGATTATTTGAAAGGGGATTAATAGCAATACATTTTTTTACTGTAATAAACTTTTAACTTTATCCACTGTGTCTTTTGATCACACCACACTGAATAAATGTTTATGGCAATGTCCATCAAATAAAAGCGTTATAATGTGCCGTCATCTTACTCACTGCATCTGGCCCCGTGACTTCTGGCTCTTCCCCCAAAGTCAAAGTGACCAGGAAGGGGAAATGTTTTGAATCGATTCAGGTCATCAGGGCAGTCGCAAGAGCACAACTGGACAAGACCTGCAAAACTGCCCTGGAAAGAGGCAGGAACAGAGGAATAAATGTGTTTGAAGCAGCGGGGGAGCTCTGCAGGTGGTTAGGGGCAATATGTGTCTTTTGCTATAACATATTTTACAAATTTAAAAATTAGTCACGTTTTCTGATCACACCTTGTACTGCATCATACTGGTCATGCTATTTAAATAAATGCCCTCTTCTAGATTTGATGGGTAATAAAAGCAAGAAAATGTATCTGTTTTACTTCTCAAAGTGCGGTGTTGGACAGAGGGCCTCATGCATGGTATGCATTCAAAAACTTGTTGAAAGCAGTGAGAGAATAACTGAAGACAGAAAAATGCAGTGTTGAAATCACTTGTCACGTGTTATGCCCTGGCACTTTGTAACCTGGGACCGTGGGCTTTCTGCCACGGCACGGGAAGTGGGAAATGCAGGCGTATGAACTCCCCTCCTCCCCGGGGAGCAAGGAGCCTTTATCAGATCCTCAAGCTGATCTTAGTGGAGAAGAGATTAAGAAGTATTGTTCTAAGTGCATAGGCTGTGAGATGAGATAGTTTGGTCACGGTACAAGAAGGAGGATACCGTCTCACCTCAGGAAAGACCGATTTCTCTCTAACACTGACTGAGGTTTTGTATCCTCCACCTCTCCAGGAGAAGAGAACATGCTGCCTCTGCTGACACAGGACTCCAATTCCAAAGCTCGGAGGGGCATTTTAAGGAGAGCGGTCTTTTCGGAAGACCAGAGAAAGGCTCTGGAAAAGATGTTTCAGAAGCAGAAATACATCAGCAAGACAGACCGAAAGAAACTTGCCATCAACTTGGGACTTAAGGAATCACAGGTACTAGTGAACTGGAAGATGTCTCGTGCTCCTGACTTTTAAGTAATACAATGGAATCCATTAACTGGGCCAATATTTCTGGTGCTAGGCTTGGTGCTGGACCCTGTGATGTTCTTAAAGTGCTCATAATTTTTAGTGGGTGGAAATATATCTGATAGTTCCTATTTGGAAGTAGGTCTGCTTGGTAAGAGGTCTGGGTTTTTGGCCTTTGGGTTGATTCATTTTTCTAGGAAGGAGAAAAAAACAAAAGATGTAACATTTAAATCATAGTGGATTTTTTTTGTGTTCTGTTTTTGGATTTTTGTGGGGTTTGTTTGCTCTATATTCAGAGAAGCAGGCCAAATAATTTCCTTGAAACGCAGGAACCAATTGTCCTGTCTTTTTCTTCATTTGCAACCTAAAATCAAAGCATGCATGAGTGATACCTTTTGGTGGGCCTCCCTGTTTTGCACTGGGGATCTATGCCATGTACACTTAAGTCATCTTACATTTGTAACACCTTTCTGGTTGCTAAATACTGTACGTAATTGAGAACGAGGCTTTCTGGCTTCCCGGTGACTCCCTTACTATAAATAAAGAATACGTAAGGCGCTAGCATTTTCCTCTTTAGTCCACCTGTAGTCACCATGCACGTAACCGTGCCTGTTTTCTCCACGAAGGAATGTGGAGAAGAGAACGTAAGTCCAGCGTCGTAGATGGCAAAGCTGTTTGAGAGCTGAACTCCCACCCCGGGCGCTTGACTCTGGGGCTGGGTTTTCCTGACCCGAGAGCCGCCGTCTACAGTGCGGGGCGCGCCCTGTACCAGGAAGAGCGTCTGGCCAGAGGTCGTGGTGGTTGTCAAAAAGGAGCAGGTGCTCTGCTTTTCCGCTGCATTTCTTGGTGCCGAGACAGGAAAACAGACCCCCGTGGGACGCCCACCTCTCTCCAAGGACTCAGCCCCGAGCCCTTGCTTTATTCTTTTAACCACAAGATCACAGCAGATTCTGTACCTTGCTGTGCGCCCCCTTCCCATACCAGCTTCACAGCCCCGCTATCTCGCTCCCCAGTCAGCGCAAGACGCCTAGCTGCGTAGAGCTGTCCCCCTGGCACTTTTCAGTACCTGGTCTTTGTTCTTCTTACTCTTCCCCCCGCAGAATCTTGCTATAGCCGCTCTCGTAATGCGGGCTCAGGGCTCAGCATTTGGAGTGGGGACCTCCTCTGGTCTGGCCGCCCAACGAAGCTGGGATACCTCCGCTTCTCCGAAGTACCACTTGTGCTTCCTGACTTTGCTGTAACATTTGGTGAAATGCAAAATTACTGTAACAGTGCAGCCTGCACGCACCTGAGTTTTCTAATTAGTATAAAAGAACTGAAGGTCTAGCAGAGACTGTCCTACCCGCGTGCAACTGTTGTTCCCCACTACAAATGACCTTGGTCTTCACTCTGGACTTTATTCGAACTGGTTGTTCTTGTGAGAATCTCTCCTGAACCTTTCTTCCTTTCCCTATGGAAATGGTCTGTCTTTCCCTCCACCTCCTTTCCCCAGTAGCAGGATGCAGGCTGCGGTAGGGTAGAGAGTGATGGATCTAGATCTCCTGCTCTCCTGGTCTGTGGTGCTAATGATCCGTGGCCTTAGCTGGTTGGTTGCACTGCCTCAGTACAAGAACAAGAGCAATTATTGAAATTATGGCCCTGGTTTTTTTTAAAGAGAAAAAACTCAATAAAAATGATACAGAGTATCAAAATAAGATGGTAGAAAATTAACAGTGGTTATTATATTGTACATTATCTTCACAGTAGTTGCTCAGATTATAAGATAGAGGCATGCAAGATTGATCAAACCATAAACCGTAAACCACTGATCAAACCATAAACACTAACTGTTCCTTTCAGTGAACTGGTAGAAATTAATAGTACAATTTTCCTGGCTAGCTTGTGTGTATATATATATATATATATATATTTCTTCCTTTTTAAAAAATTTTTTCCTTTCTTCTTTTCTCCTTATGTCCCTGTTACATACACAATTTTGTGTATGTAAGAGACAAATCAGTACTTATTCTCTGATAGTCTGTTGTGTGCAAAACACTATACTAAGTGGGCAGTAGAAGGAAATATTGGTAAATATCGGTAAAGAAGAATTCATACTCTGCACCCACCAGTAACTTACACACCCAGTGAAAACTCATGAAAAGTTAGGTAACAGCATAAGACCATATACTAATGTAAGGGTACTGCCTGGTGGGTTAGATACTCTGTCCAGTAAGGTGCTGAGTCATAGTTCCTAGAGCTGCCTATCACCCAGGGCCTTATGTTAGCCCATCTGTGGAGAGCACAGCATCGTGACTGGTTCACGCTCTGCCCCCGCCCCTGGAAGCTTGGTGGTGGAACTGCCCGATCCTTAGAAGAGCTGTAGGGGCACAGCAAAGAAGATGGATCTCACAGATATGGATAAAAAGCCACATAGGTGGGAAGATATAGGCAGGTGCAGGGGTTGAGGAGCCTCTGGTTGGGGAGCCTCATAATTGCAGCAGATGAAGAAAGATGGAAAGTGGCTCGGTTCTGTCTTACGGGGCTCTGAGAGGTGTGAAAAGCTCTCCTACTGTGTGTGCTGTGTGTCTGTGAAGCTGTTCTCGAAGACCCAGCGCATAACTATATCTTCAAAAAAGCTATGGCAGGTGATCGTACTGGCTCCACTCAAAGAAATCCAGTGATTCTCTTGTTTGCTATCTTTTGGTTCTGCTGTATGGGCACATAGTTTTAATCATATTGCTTTTAAAATTCAAATGCCATAGGGTGAGTGTTTTTGCCAGTAAATTTTGTGGGACATTTCAGCTTAGCATTTTATCATTTCCATGTATAGCAATTGCATGATTGATACATAATACTTACTGTGGTAAACTGAAATAAAAGTGAAATTGGTAAAGTTGAAAAGAAAACTTATTTCCTGAACTTATTTCCAATGCCTTACTTACTTTCTCACTTCCAATGCCTTGTTTACCGGTATCGTTCATACATGTCTCATTTGCATTTACTGAAGGGTAATGTATTATTTTAAAAGTAATTTTATATATGGGTTGCACATGCACAGCCCCAGGAACGCAAACACTTGCACGGTGCTTCCTAGGTGCACTTATGTTTGATGCAAAGATCCTTTGAGAGAGCTGCTTTTATGACACCGATTTTATAAATGAAGAAGCTGAGGCTCAGACTTGTATGTGTATAATTTCAAATAATGACTGGGTCGTTCCATGCATATGTTTTGGCTTTCCCTGAAGAACAGTAAAAATCACCTGATTAACCCAGGCGTAGAAACCAGAAGCTCCCCGAAGAGCCCCTGCTAGTCACTGTGTGCATCTTCCAAGGACGGCCATCACCCCGACTTTCAGCTATGTAGGTCAGGTTAGCCTGTTTCGTGCTTTATACTAGTTAAATAATTTGGTATATATTCTTCTGTATATGGCCTCTATTACTTAAATTATATTTGTGATATTCTTATGTTGTTGCATGTGGCAGTAAGATCAGTTCTACTCATGGCTGTGTCATATTACCATTCCGTGGTCCAACACAATCCATTCTACTGATGGTGGGCAAGTGTATTGTTCCCATCGCAGGCATTTACGAACAACGCTGCTGACAATCGATATTGTTTTGTGCATTGTTCCCCCATTCAAATATTATGGGATGGATTATTCTATGTCAGTACGTACTAATCTACTTCATTCTTTGTGTGTGTGTGTCTCATTACAGATTCGTGTGTAGCTGTATCATAAGTGACTTAATCACTCTCAACTTGAAGTTACTCTCAACTTTTACTATTGAATTTTTTCTTTTTCTTTTTGGTTTTTTCAGGGTCTCACTCTGTAGTCCAGCCTGACCTTGGACTCGCTGTGTAGCCTAGGCTGTTCTCAGATTCTCGGTGTTCCTCTTGCCTCAGCCTCTCAAGAGCTGGGATTATAGGCAAGTGCCAGCACATCTAGCCCACTATTGAATTTCCTTAAGCTCTTTAAAAATATTTTTGTAAGATTAGGAACCAGGAATAGGATTTATGTGTTAAGGTGTATGTATATTTTAAATTGTGAGAGATTAAAATGTTCTCTCCAAAAATAATACTCTGTTGTATACCGAGTTATATGCACATTTCATACTGAGTTATATACATTTTTCACTCTTATTAACAACTAATAACTTCTTACTAAGTCTCCACCAATTGTCATTTTAAAAAAAAGTTGCCAGTGCCAGGTTTGGTGGCACACACCTGTAATCCCAGCAGTTGAGAAGCTGAGGCAGGAAGCTTGCTACGAGTTTGAGGCCAACCTGAGCTGCACAGCGAGTTCAAGGTCATAGTGAGACCCTGTCCCAAAAAACAAAACAAAACAAAAAGTTGCCAACATTTTGATCAGTGGTATTTGCTATTTTTTATTTGAATATCTCTAACTATAGGAACCTAAGGCCTTTCAGTCATTTTAATGAGCATTTGTAGTCTGTGAATTGGCCTCAAGGATGCGTTTTTCTATCATATTGTCTTTTTGTTAATATGCAGCAGTTACTTTGGATGTTAATCAAAATGTTTGGAATATTATGGTGAGCAGATTTTTCTGTTGCAGATACTTGGGTTTTAAAATTGTAATAAATGTATGTAACGTAAAGTTTACCATTTGAACCTTTCTGAAAGTGTTCAGCTCAGTGGCATTGAGTGCATTCCCTTTCTCCTGCAGTCATCTCTCAGCACTATCCTCCTCCAGGATTTTTTATCTTATAGAGTTGAAACTCTGTGTCCAAAAAACAGTAACTTCTTATTTTCCTCTTCCTTTCACCCACCAACTACCACTGTATTTTGTGTTTCTATGAATCCTTCTCTAAGAATCTCATGAGTAAAATCACAGCATTCATCTTTTTTATGATTGTCTTATTTCGTGTAGCATATCCTCAAAGTTTATTTCCCTAGTAGCACATGCCAGGGTTTACTTCCTAAGACTGAGTAACTGTCCATTGTATGGATATGACACATTTCTTGATATACTTGATATAAATGAAATGATATACATTTCATTTAACCATTCATTTGTTGATGGACATTTGATTGTATCCACTGTTTTGCTATTGCAAATAATGCTGCTCTGACTTTAACGAACAAACATCTCTGACTCCATGCTTTTAATTATTTTGGGTAGTTTTTGGCTTTTTATGTTCATGGTATGCATATTTATACAGAAATTTTTCATTTTCATGCAGTCAGCTTTATCTTTTTTTTGTAGCCTCCATGTTTGATGACATGCTACAAAAACTATTGTCTCCACCAAAATGTAATGATGATCTCTTATATTTTCTTCTAGAACTTTTCCAGTTTTATTTTCCTGGTTAGCTACTTAATCTGTCTGTAATTTGTTTTTGTATTTGTTGGGAGAGGTAGAACTTTTTTCCCTAAATATATATACCTTTGTCCTAACAAACATTGCGAAAGAACTCTTTTCATGTTTTTCCTCCATTGAGATAGCACTTAAATATTTCCAAATATATAGAAAAATCAAAGAAAAAGAGAGCAATACGATGAGAAAGGCAAGAATCACTAACAGGTCTAACACTTCGGAGGATGAGGCAGGAGGATTACCATGCATTAGAGGCCAGCCTTGTATACATAGTGAGTTCAAGGTCAGCTTGAACTGCATAGCAAGACCCTGTCTCAAAAAACAAAGCAAAACAAAAAAGAACCACTAACAAGAACAAATAACACCTTCAGTGAAAACCCATTAGAAATACTTGGCACACTTTCCAGGGGTAAATGCTCATTGTAAATAATAAATGAGCTCATGAATAGAACCAAATGCTCTAATATATAGACTTGAGAGCCGTTTTATTATAAAAACCCTTAATCACAGGATTGTAACTGGGACAGCAGTCTTTCACACTCAATTGCCTGGGGTAGATTTCTTTTTTAGTTGTTATGAAGATTGCCAGTCAGACTGAAAGAATGAGGAGATTGTTGCATTAATCTGGGAGGGCCTGCTTCCGAACTTTTTCCTTCATTGAAGGAAATATTTGGTTGATATGCCGTAGTAATATTTCTTCTGGTAAAAATTTTCCAGTTTTATTTTAACAGAAATCTAAATTATTAGTTAAGGATGCATTGTAATATACAGGAAAAGAATATGATTGGTTTTCAAGGTATCTGGAAATCAACTGGGAAGTTTTCTGCTCAGCTAACACTGAGTATGGGGTGGATTAAGAGGATGGCTACTAATAAAGGGGCTCAAGCTGTGTGCTGTGGGGGAAGGTATGGTTCGAACCAGGAACCACCATCATAAGTACTTCTGGCCTATTGCAATTTATTTTTATTTATTGAGCCTATTTATTCACTATAGTTTGATTACTATAGTTTGATAAATTCTGGGGTTAATCTAAACATGAGGACTGTACAAAACCTATAACATGAAACCATTATAAAATATATTTTTAATTTAGTTTCAAAAAGTTCCTGATGAAATCTGCATCCTTACATGAGTCTGAGTCCTAGAGTTGGACAGTCATGGATTCTAGTATAAATGCTTTCATTTTACCCTCTTATATGACCTTGAGCTGGTTAATGTCTTTAAACCTAGGATTTTTTACATGTGTAATGAAGACTTCTTTTAACCACTGTGAGGATCAAATTATAAATCCATCTGGAGTACGTGGTCTGATGCCTGGCATGAAATAAACACTCAGCTGCTATTACTAGTCAACATGTCCTTTGAATAAGTGATTTAGAACAGACTAAATGATATTTCAAAATACCTAAGAATGTTAAATCAGTTTTAAAGACATCAGACTTACAGAATGTAATCAGTTCACCACAAGGGGATATAAGAAGTGTGTTGGGGGATATTGTATTACTTTCTCAGATATTTCTGGAGTCTCTGTGAAGAGCCACAGGGCTTTTCCAGGTTGACGCTATAAAAAGACATCCCATAGGAGGGATAGTAGAAGCAATTGCAGTTTAAAATGCTAAAGTGAGCGGCTGGGGGTACGACTAGGTGGTAGAGTATTTGCCAAGCATACAGTGAGGCCCTGGGTTTGATCCCCAGCACTCCTTAAAAAATCTAAAGTGAAATAACCTGGAATAAGTGATTATTTTGTCCAATTATTTTATCAATAGGTGAAAATTTGGTTTCAGAACAGAAGGATGAAGTGGCGGAATTCCAAAGAAAAGGAAGTGCTCTCCAACAGGTGCATCCCGGAAGTCGGCCTGCAAGAGGACCCCCTGTCGCGGTCTGCTCTGGGTTTCGCTTCTCCATGCCCTTCGCTGTGGGAAGTCTCCCAACAGCATTCGAGCCCAAGATGGAGGGAGAACTCTCCAGAACCTGCAGAAAGATTCATCCAGGAAAGTTCAAAGGCCCTGCCGCCCGAGGAAAATTCATTGCAAGGTGCCTTGTATCTGTGCTCTGCGGAAGAAATTGGAGACAAAGGCGTTCTTTCTGCTGCCATCTGAACGGAAGCATTCCTCCACGTTAATTTAAAAGAACACTTAACCAATAATGTTTGGACTCTAAAGCCAGTTAGCTTGTGCCTCACTGATACCTAAAACCTAACAGCTTTGAAATGATGCGTGAACTAATGCATTAGGAAACCCACTCCTGCGTTCTCGTACTCAGCCCTAGACCCACACTTAATTTGTAAGTGGAGTAGAACCTCCCCGGAAGTACAGTACATTGCAACTGAAAAGAATACAAGCAAGCTTTGGCTCAGTCCCTGCTCTGAGAATGTGTATATATGTGTGTGTCTCTCTGTGTATATATGTAAATATTCATTAAAATACATTAGTACAAACCGGTTTCTCTTTTAATGTTGCCTTGAGAATTCTTTTTTTGTTTTTTAATGAAAAACCATTGACAAAAGGTTATTTTTTAAAATAATGTAAAATTTGGACTTTAGTTCGTACTTTCATACCACAACAATGTGTTTAAAGATTCTTCATTTTCTGGTTTCTTTTGGTATCCGGTTTAAGTGAGTTTTAACAGCTAGGGAACCCTAACCGGATGAGCCACAGTTAGATACATACACAGAATATATATAGTTAAAATAGTTCCAACGAGAAAATTAGAATTTCTGAGTGTAACTAATAGTTTTAATTTTCAAGTGGCAGGACTTTATGGGCCATCAGTGAGGGAGTCACCCATTTAACTAATAATTGTCCTTTGATTTTCTTTCTGCAGGGATAGGCTTACACTAGAGTTTGCCTGCCTTTAAGGGCCTATCAGATAAAGAGAGGTCACGGCTCACCTGAAGATAGACATTTGAGTTTAGCACTTTCTCAGATGCAGCGTTGGTGGAACAAAATATCTGTGCCAAGTAGTTTGGGACCTCTGGCCAAGAATAAAGCAAGCCGTGGTGTCACAGTTCTTAAACTTTTCCCAGTTGGACTTAAAAACAATACTAATGGAATCTATGATGAATTCTGTTTGTACTTCTAGTTATAGGCTCAATTTTTGACTTAGTTGGTATGTACTACGTATATACATGTAGCATATATGGTTATATATGTAGTTTATGTGGTTATATACTATATATATATATATATATATGGTTATTTTATATGTGAACAAACACTATACAGATGCTTTATGTTTTTTGACTACCCTGAAATAGTATTCTAGTAAAATTACATTTCTGGTAACAATTTGCTTAGTTAATCCAGAAATTTTAAATCCAAGTATGAGAAAAAGTCGTATTTCACTTTGAAAGAAATGAAGCGGAAAAAGGAAATGATGTGGTATCCAGTTAAGCCGTCGTTAATCTGTGGACAGGAAACATTACTAGAAGTTCATTATGTGGTGTTTTGTTAGCCAGCAAGCTGTGTGGTGAGGGGAGCTTCCAACCTGCTTACCTGTTCAGCCATAGACTTTGAAGCTTTGGTGTTTAGAAAAAGAAATGAAATGGGATAATCATTTTAATCAGTATCAGGAAAGGATTTTTATGAGTAAATTTGCAGTGGTATGTGTTAACCAGTGTCTATCACGTGATCCTTTTACTTAAAAGTCACATTAGAAGTTTGTGTTAGCGTCTCGTGGTGGGTGGGACAAGGAATCTGCTGACAATTTAAATTTAAAACCTGTTTTTAAATGAGTTACTTTTTTCCTTTATATAATGTTGCACACAGTGGATTAACTCACTTAATCCCCACAACAACAACCCCATGACATACAAAATATTACTGTCAGGATTCCTGTTACTCAGACAATAGAGCATAGGTAGGGCAGAGTACAGTGGGGTGATTTTCCAAGATTATGAGGTTAATAAATGGGATCTGGACCCTAACGGTCACGCTTCAAATCTTGAGGTCTTACCAACTTGTGGGGTGTGTGTGTACTCACATAGCTGTGAGATGCCTTATAAGAGATGCATTTTGGGAATTGTAATGAGGTTTACTAAAGAAATTTAGAAGCATGTTACATTTTACACCCTCTTAATCAAGGGATTTTTTTTCTCTTCAGTATTCTTTTTTTTTCTATAAGATTTTGTAGTTTAAGGAAAGCAAGGAATTACAAGTCTTCAGCTGTGAAGCCATAAACAGGAGTTTGAATGCTTGTCTATGGTCAGTGTTTCTTGAGAATAACTTAAAATTTGAGTGAGAGAAACCCGTCAAGGCCATCTGATTACCCAGGTTGGAGAAACGGGCGAATCATCTATCATCATTGTTACTTAAATGACCTTCTGTCAGGGTAATATGAGCATATTTGTTGTCACTTATCTAGACAAACACTGCTCTAATTAATTTAGCACGGGGACCATAGAGTACTGGAGGTCAAAACGTTTCAAGTTTTTCAAAAGAAATTGTCAAATGGATCTTAAGCTGGTAAGGCATATGTGGTGAGCATTATCTCCTAAATCTTCATAAATATTTAGGGTTGGAAATATCTAAACAGGTTAGGGGTGATCTATGTCTCTGCAGCTCTGAGGGCTATGATCCTGTCTAAAGGACAGCTCTATTTTCTCTGTATGAAGGTGGATTTAATGGGGAACCCACTTATTTAGTCCAGTGGTTGTCAGACTAAGAATCCATCCATGTGCTTAATGCTGCACCTTTCAACAAGTTTTGGATATGAACACAGATTTAGACATGCATGCTCCTTCAACACGCATGCCTCCCACCCCAACCCTGAGAATCACTTTTCAAAATATAAAATCGTAAATGTTCTTGTCCAAGCCAAGACATGGCTCCTTTCACTGCCCTTTCTGATTCTCCCCTTTAAAAGCTGTGTACTCCCTACCCCCCCGATGTGCAGTGTGACCCAGCCACCCTCGATGGCCTGCAGTTCCATCCAGCTCTGCTAGCCATTAGCATAAGGAAGCTTATGCCACTGTGTTCCTAAGTTTGTTAGACGCTGCACCTGTAACTCTGTGAACTCTCTCAATATTTTTTCCTTCTAAATTTTAAAGCTCATTGGGCACTCTGTGTAAAGCATTGGTCTAACCTGTAGGTCAGCAAATACGAGGGAGAATAGGGGCCCTGCCCTCTAGGAGCTTATAAATTCGTCTTCTTGCAAAACAGCTTTTGAAATATTCCCTGTTGATGTTGGTGGGATCCAGTGAATCTGTAGCAGAAATCTCACATCCTCCAGAAGCTCCAGCTCTCCGTGTGCAGTGGGAGATTTGTTAAGGTCTCTGCTATTCCGATAGCATGAGTTACTCAGCATTGCTTGTTTTCTTTGGTGCTTTTCCTCCTGGTCAGAGCGCTCTCAAGAGGAGTCAGGAGTCCAAAAGAGTTTGGTAACTGTTGTTCACAGTGTATCTTGTCTCTTTTTTCTACCTTCTCAGCCTTGGAGAAAGAGAGAAGAAAAATCAAATGAGTGCAAGTTGGAGAAACCAGGATAGTGAGCGGTTTTGAACGTACCAAGAAAATGTTGCAGGATTCATTTATACTTTTTCAAACCATTGCTGAAGTAAGCAACTACTGTAAAGACAGTACTTGCCCACAAAGATGTTTCTTAGTTTCCTGCTCTGACTTGGGTTACATTACATTATAAGGGATGGTGAAATACACAGCGAATGTGTAAATTTTAAAAACTATTAAAAGACACACGGGCACTAGTGCCTCAGAATACTCTGCCTCCCTTCAAACACTCTTACCCATTGTTACAGCTACTTTCTGAAGCAGTTCTGGATGTCTTCTTTCCTGAATGTCTAACAGGGTGTGCTAAAAAAAACAACTGACCATCCAAACAAAAAAAACAGTGCATGCTGCCTCCAAACGCCAGCCAACGGAAAGGCCGGCTCGTGAAAACATAGTGGGGTGTTCTCACCCACTTTATTCACTGGATATGACACTTTGACTGTTTCCTAAAGTGAGATGGCCCCGTGGTTTCATGACTTAGGTTCCATAACTCCAAGTCCATCTCTCTGTTTAGATGGCCTTCTTCAATATGTTCTCCCTTGTGTATCTGTGTTTCAGATTTTCCTCTGTCATTCTCTTATCAGGACATTTGTCATTGGATTAGAGGTGGATTCAAAATAGCCATGTCTCAAATTTCTTAAAGTTAATTGCATTTGCAGAGGGCTTTGTCCTCAACTAAGGTCACACTCACAGGTTTCAGGGGTTCGGAGAAGACATACCTTTTGGGGGACTACTGTTCATTCCACTACCTTTGTGTTCTACAACATCAGAAATTCCAGAATAAACAAAATCAAAAGACTTAGACTCCCTAGGTTTTCTCTGTGACAGAATTAAATGTATTTACTTATTTTTTTACTTAAGCTTTTGTACCCACAAAACAATGTACTACTTGCAAGAATATTTGATGCAAGGAACTTTTTCTAAAACTTGCCTCTATTTGGGATTTCTTTCTACACAGAGAAAATTTAAGAAAATGCAACACTAATTTTTTTAAAACTCTCACATGGATTCCAGATGTTGACCATTTAATCCAAGAAGGTGTTTGCCTTATTATACAAATGTGGAACACATCAAAAAATTGGCATTGTTTAATTTATGACTCATACATGAACCATTGTTTTTTGTGATGTAGTTATTTTAAGTAATTCATAAACTAAACAGTGACAATATTTTGGACACATACCATACTTATGTAATGAGGAAACACCTTCTTGCATTAAATGGCCAACATCTGGGATCCATGTGGGAATGTCTTTGAAATTTTAAATGAGGACAAAGTAGCATGGCATATAACTAGCATGGTGATTCAGATATACAATTAGCTGATAATCAAAAGGGGGCTGAACTTGGTACTACACTGTGGTTAGAAAATGTAGATGTCATTGACAGAAACAGCCAGTAACATTTTTTACAGTACAGCTTTGAGGATGGGGTAAATGGGGACGTGGAAGGAAATGCAACATGGGCAGTGTTGAGGAATGAAAAACCAAGGCAATTATTCTTTCTTAGTAGGAGTGTAAGTTACCGAAAACTTTCTGGAAGGCAACTTGGTAACATAAGTCTCTCTTCCCTCCTTCTTTTCCCTCTCTGTCTCTCTCTCTCTCTGTCTCTTTCTCTGTCTCAGAATATATTTTTAGAGTAGGTTTAGTCTCACAGCAAAATTGAGTGGAAGATATTGAGATTTGTCATACTCTCTTGACCACTACACATGGCTTCCCCCACAAACCATATCTTGAACTAGACTGATATATTTATTACATGTGACAAAAACCAGTATCAAAGTCCAGAGTTTAGGATTTACTCTCATACATTTCAACAAATGTATAGTAACACACATTGGCCTCATTGTCTTAAAAATATTCTCATATTTTTGATAACAGTATGGGACTGGTTGCGTCAATTTTAGCAAATTATATCATGAAATCCTATGCAGC